AAAAAAAAAAAAAAAAAAAAAAAAAAGAGTATTATCATTCTTGATTTTGCATTCTTATTCTACGGTATAGAGAAAAAAATAAAAATATTGTCGTCTTCTTATGCAATATAAATGAATGTTTACAGGAACAGTAACTTTCAAATAGACACAGTAATTAATACCGGTAAAGGAAGTTGTTGCATAGTCGACATTGCAGTTTGTGGCATTGGATTCATCTGTGACGCAGCAGCGATTCCAACTCCAACTCCACCTACCGAAACTACTGGCATAATTGAACGATCCGGTCCTAGTACTACGCCAGGTGGTGGTGGTTGCAACGTCATATTCGCTGTGTAACAAAAATTGTCGTGCTATTATATTTTCTACGTTCATATATCATATAAATATTTGCAGTTGATATCATAAATGTGTAAATATTAACTTGAATAAGCATTCGTACTCATAATAGGCTTAGTTTGTATTTGAGACGACTGCACTTGTTGATACTGTTGTTGTAATTGCTGCTGTTGCTGCGGCGTAGGCTGCTTTTGTTGTATGTAGACTGGCTGTTGCTGTATTGTTGGTTGGGCTTGTGAAGATTGTGCCGGCTTGCCACGACCTTTCCCGACAGTGGTGGTATTTTTACCCTAGATATTTAATAATGATACTGTTGTGTATATATATATATATTTTATACTACTGTTTTTACTATTTTGCTAACAGATGTATAATTATTTAGTCATCATGTCAAAGTCAATAGTATTCAAGCATTTGTTGTAACACTCGAAATCTTGATTTACTTTTCATATTATTTTTTTTTATTACAGAATACTATACTTTTATATATCACATAGATTTAAGATAAAAATTAAATGTGCTGATAATTGAAATAGTAACCTGTGTTTGTACTGTAGTAGTTTGTACGCCATAAACAGTTTGTGTGGAGACGGAACTGGCGGCCCGTATATTGGCAGCCTGCATCGCTAAAGACGACGGCAAGATACTCAACGGTCGTTGTATAGTTGTAGCCGGTTTACCCTGTTGAGATGGTTGCTGAATTTCCACCACTTTAGGTTTTGCACCAGCTGCTATTTGTTGTACACTTTGTATCTGTTGCTGTGCCGCGAGAGCTAGCCCGATAAAATAATAAACAAGACTTGAAACTTATCATTCTCTATATGTATTTTTTTGTTCACGTGTGTGTATTATATAGAGGAAAAAATTCCAAAAAATTATAAACTAAGAAACACTAAATTTTTATTTTGAAAATAGAAATTTGAATTTAGAGATATTAACGAATGGAAGGATGTAAATACTGACCATTGTGCGCCTGTATCGGCTGTGAACTTTGTATAAACATATCAGCTTGTGTGGGACCGCGAATGAATATTTGATTAGGCGCGGCAGTGAGCAAAGTCGGTTGTTGCAATCCAGTGGCCCACACTTGAGGTGCGAATTGCCAGGGTGCAAACTGCATACCACCCGTTCTTCCACCTGAAGGTGTTCCAGTGGTGCATGCTGTATACTATTTAAAACATAATATTATAGAATAAATGCAAATATAGTAATATTTAAGAAATGCTACGCAAACACAAGATATGTTGCTTTGATGATTTACAGAATAAATGCCTCGTTATGCTATTATATTTACCTTTTGTACTTGTTCTTGCTTATTCGTGGATTGCTGCTGTTGCTGCTGCTGTATTGAGGGTGGTGGTTGCGGAGAACCTAGTACACCGAGTTGACCGAACACCAGCGTCTGTCCGGCACCAGGAGCGGACGTGGGTACTGGTAAATAGCCGGCCGGAAATCCTGGGACTTTGGTGGCACCAGCACTTGGATGATTACTTCCTTGTCCAGGCGTGGACGTCGTAGCCAACATGTGAGGAGTCAGTTGAGCTGCTGATTGAAATGGCTTTCCCGCTGTTATTACCTATGAAATATGCATTGTTTTTTTTTTTAAATTAGAAATGCAAATAGAGAGAAATATTTCAGCACGTATTAAGCTTTTGGCATAAATTACCTCTTAATCAAAATTAAAGAAAAGTACCTGAATAGAAGAGGGATTTATGCCCGCCGGATGGAGTGCCAAGTTTCCTGGCATCAATAAAGGTGCACCTTGAGTATTATACAGTTGTTGTAAATGATAAGCTTGACTCTGAATCGGTTGTTGAATCACTTGGACCGCTTGTGGATGTGCAGCCATTGTAGTTATGGTGGTTGCACCTGGTTGACCAGACAACGTCATGGACACACCTACTCCCTGTTGTTGTTGATGTTGCATCGACACTGCAACTCCCTGTAATTTTGTTAATGATGAGATGCAAAGAACTGATATGTAAAGGTAAAAATCAAAGAATAAAAATAATGTGACAATTCAAACATAATTAAATAAAATTAACAACAACATATAATACAAATGAAATGTAAAATTATACTGTAACTACATGTAAGATTATTTATAAAACAGAATGTGGTACAACTTTAAAAATAGAAATAAATTATTACTTGTTGTGGCATACTGGAAACTACCTGCGGCTGTACTTGCACTTGAGCAGGAACAACACTATTTTGCTGCTGTTGCTGTGACTGTTGTGACTGTTGCTGCTGCTGTTGTTGCTGCACTTGTATCTGCTGTTGTGACTGGACCTGCTGCTGTGGCTGAACTTGTTGCTGCTGCTGCACTTGAGATTGTTGTTGGACCTGTTGAGGCTGCTGCGGCTGCTGTACATGCTGTTGCTGCGCCTGCTGGACATTTTGCTGCTGCTGCTGCAGGTCATGAGTCGCGATCATTATTTGTTGCGGTTGCGCTTGCTGCGGCTGCTGCGGTTGTGCTTGCGACGTCGTGATTCCAATCGGTTTAACATCTGTCATGTTTCCTTACACCTTTTATTGTATTAGAGTACAGACGTTCTTTTAGAATTTAGAAAAGGAAGCAACTCTCGCTGATAGTATTCAATTGTAAATTGCCTTTTTTCCTTGCCATTTTACATCCACGCCAATTTCAATCTGTCCATCATGCTGCATCTGCAATATACATATGTCTATAGACAGATCAAAAGAAATAAATTTCTGGATACTCCAATCAGCTCTGCATATTTTCGTATGCATATATATCATATATTTCGTATGCAAAGATATTACTTTCCTAGTTTTTGAACTTTACTTTTTACCTCATCGTTCATTAAAGCGAGATTTTGTATTTTGTTCGTGAGTAAATAAATAGTACGATAGTATTTATGCCATTGACAGAATATTTAAACTGCTTCCGCATTGTGTACGCGCAGCATTATCTATTTTCATGCTCAAATGGAAATATCGCGGTGGGATGCCTACTTCACGATCGAACTTGAGGCTTGAGAGACGAGCATGAAGTAGCCATCGACGCCGCGCCATACGTGTTGCCGTGTCATAACCATAACCTTTGTCAGACGAGTACGCGTACTTGTGGACTCGAGTCGGGATTCTCGCAAGCGAAGCTACTGTACTGGTGCTCGGGAGTGAAGTGCGCCCTACGTCGCATCTTTTTTTTTTTTTTCTTTTTGTTGGTCTCTCTCGACGATTACGCACGCGGAAACCTTTTCTCGGTCCAGCAAAGTAAGTCTCTCAGAAGTTAACGACGCTTTGTCGCGTTTCCCCTGATTTTCTCTCACTGCGCGAGAGTAACGCGCGAGATCAAACACGAGTGCGAAGCATATATATGGTTTTACTGATTCGCTCGATAACTCTGTCGTGTTAATATCGTGTACGCGTTTGCTCTTTTCGCTCGATTGAACGTCGTTTCATCATAAATACGCTCTCATCATTGCAAGAATTAAACTGAGTGAATAGGTTATGTGAGGATATTGTAGCTTTTTATATATGTATGTATATATATATATGTATATATATATGTGTGTATTTTTTCGAACCAAATTATAGTTCTGTTAATAATTCTTACAGAGAGACAGTATCTCTGCGTATATTGAAACATTTCGTCCAGCAATAATTATGTGCTATAAATTTGTGTTGGCTACGTGATAAGAATAATGCTGAGTATCTCGAAATGCTTAAACATTTTTAAACATGTAGGCATACGGCGGAAGTAGTATAGATTTTATCACTGTTTTCTTAGAAGAATACAGACTTTGCAGAATATTATAAAAATATTAATCGCTGTTCAACAGATAAGCCTGAGTGTGTTTTTTATACAGTTACATACTTTTCATCTAATTACATCATTTTATTCCGATATTATTGCAGTTGGAATTTAATGTTCAAATTTATTAACTTTCCAGCTGATATTATTTTATATACAGGATAAATTAATGCCAAATATTCTCTAGATGGGATATATTTTCCAAATATTAAAAGCTATTAAATATTTTCAACTAAATATTAAAATTCATATAAACATGAGTCTATTATAGAAATGTTTAATTTTAGTACAAATTTTAACATTATAATTTTAATTTAACAATACCAAACAATTAATGAAATATATAATAAACATTTTATTACAAAAAAATTATTCAAAATAGTCTTCTTTCCATGTGATCTAGCATTATAGCTTTCAACTTGATACATACATTTATTTACAACTTGATATTATACTATATTACAACAACTCATTACAATCTTACGTGCATACATTATTGTCAATTATTAAAAAAGACTAGAAAACCTTTAATAATTTTAAATTTCTAAAATTGTTTAATAAACAGGAATGTCTCCAGAATATTTAACACTTATTAATTTACACTCTGTATATTTCATTATTATAGCTCCAGTATTGTGATTGTGTAACTTTGTATCAATTTTATCATTTTATTTCGATATTGTAGTATTATTTTATATATTTTTATTACATTTCTAACTTAAGATAACTTTATTATAATCTCATAATTAATTTTTTTGTAATATTAGTGCAATATTATGTAGTTTGTTTTTCAAATGCTTTTTTAACTTTAAATTCTGTTAAAAAATATACATATCTATTTTGTTTCTGCAAGAGTTATAAAAATGTACTAAGATCTAATATATCACACAATGAAATCTATTTTTCATTTTTGTTACATAGGATGTCTCAGGCTTAACGTGTCAGTTAAAGATTTTAATCAGCTTTGTATCTTAATGAGGGAAATTATCAATTTGTACAGATATTTAATATTAAAAATATTTTCAATTAAACTTGGAGAGGTAAAAATGTATTAAAATAAAGTTCATATGAAATTGAGTAAAGGGAAAACCTTGTCCACATTTGTAAATACTATTTTCGAAAATGTAACAAAGAAAAATTTGTTTACAGTTGCTTATAAAAAAATTCTTAGACGCAAAGTGGCTCGTAACAAATCCGAGATTCCCTGCATTGCGGAAGTGAAACGATATCTCTGAGTGAACCTGGTACATGGAATGTCGATACACGACCTTCATGTAAACGGTATGATGTTACACATGAGACACCCTTTATAACCCTGAGGCTCAGCGAAGGGAGAGAGAAAGAGAGAGAGAGAGAGAGAAGATAGAAATGTGCCGTGATTCGAAGGAGACGCTGTGAATATCGGGAGAGAAAGATGAAAGAGGGGAGGGAACAGCCGACGCCAAACTCGTGCGGTAACGTAGAGTTCTGTATACCCCGTCATTCGAATAAAAACTATCCCGGGAATATCGATCCCGGCCGACGATTCCATCTTGGCGTGTGTGCGCGCGAGCGCGCGCCCATGGAACGAACAAAATGTCGCCCCAATCCATATACCCACCATAATTAGTGGCACGGTAATAACAAGAGGGAGAAAGAAGGAAGGGGGAAAAGCACAGAGAGAGATCTGTAGGGGAGCGGGAAATACGACTGAAAGGCGGGTTGGCCAGACAGAGAGGGGTGGGAGAGGAAAGAGAAAAATTCGAAGGGAGGGGAGATGGAGAGAGAGAGATAGAAAAAAACAACTGTGCCAGGGGGACGGCTGACACATGGATCTCGCCATAATGGCAATCTGTAAGGTATATAACATAAACGGACGAATTATAATACCACAAGGGAACACGCTGGGAGAGCACGCGAGAAAAAGAGAGACGGTATATTTTTTTTCCGCGCTCGCCTGAAAGTTGCAACAAAACGCAACGCACGCTCTCTGGCGTCACACGCATGCACGTATCCGGTCGCTGCGGGTCCCGTCCCTCCATGCGAATCCAAAGTGGCGGCGTCCTCCGCACGGACGCCGACATATTGAATTACAAAATAAAGAACAGCGTTCGGAGAAGCGACGGGATGAGTGTGCGAGAGAGGGACAGGAAAGAAGAGAGACAGAGACAAAGCAGTGTTATCGAACAGTTGCGGCGTGTCGACGGACCGTCGTCGCGGTTCGGCGAAGATCGTCGTCGGCGCAGCAATCGAACACGCATTCGCAAAATTAATTTAAAAGTTTATTTTTTTTTATCGCGTCGCACATGAAGGACCTACGGAGGTATGGCGAAGGGGTGGATACCCTCCTTGACGACGACGACGCCACCACGAGTCGACGGAACCTCCGACAGGGATGTCTCACTCTATCTTTTATCAGGTACTCACATGGCGACTGCGCAGTCACACCTATATACACGCTCCGGCTGGTGCGCGCGTATGTGTGTATATGTATGGTAGATGCGCGTGTGTATGTGTCCACCGATTAACACCACCACTACCACCACCACCACCTCGCTTGTCCGTCGCAGCGCACGATGCCAACACGGTGTGTATTTCGTTCGTGCAGTGTTTTACGAATCACCGTTTTTCTCACCGCACCGACCACACCGAAGTGCGAAATTCATTGACAGACTACGAGAGCCTCGTGACAACAGTTAACTGCCGCCCTTGCAGCTATCGATGAGATACTACCGCTACTGCCGTTGCTGCTAGCTGCCTCCCTGTTCCACACAGTATATAACACGACTACCTCTCCACAAACGGCCGAATACCCGCGCGTCCCTGACACGGCTATCCCTTCCAGTGGCAACCCTCCCCCCGCGCACCGCGCGTCTTCCAGCGTGGCGTGCTGATTGGTTCGACGAGGACAAATCCCAAAGGCATCGTTCGCGCCGAGAAAGGCGGAGCCATTGGATATGGTGGCTAGGCGCATGCTCACTAACGGTATCGCATTCTCTCTCTTTTCCTGTCTCTCTCTCTCTCTCTCTCTCTCTCTCTCTCTCTCTCTCTCTCTCTCTCTCTCTCTTTGTCTCCTTTCTCACCGCTACCTATCGCGCCCAGCCGTCCTATCGTATACACGCGCACACAGATGCACGAACCATTTGTTCCTGTACGTATACAGATCTATAGTCCCTGCCGTATTTCACAGCATAGCACTGGCAGAAACGTGCCAAGTTTTCCGAGCGCCCTGGTATTCCATTTTACACATATTTCTCCTAAAAATTTTTCTTTTCTTTGTGCCAAAAATTATTTATTACCAACTTTTTCTTTTTTTTATGTCCAATTGAAAATTTTGATTATGGTGCGCTAATACAAGTGTAGTGCATATTAATAATAATGAATAATTTGTTCGATTGTATTTAATTTTCATTTATTATTGTTTAATTGATATTCTGTTGTTTAATTAAAAACACGTAGTTGAAAATTGCAATTGAATATTTTGTTTATAATTTATACGGTTTAATTTTAATTTTATAATTTTTATATCTGGTAATTTTTGTGCAATTGTATTAAATATATGCATTTTATACGTATTTTATATGCATCAGAGTTGAGATTTTGTAAAGATACAATTGATACAAGAAAAATTGCCTGTTATATTAAACAACCTTTTTAATTAAAAATATTAAAAAAATTAATTATAAGGAGATTATTGTTAATTTTTTTTTATTGTAATGAGAAATGAGAATACGACAAAAAATTTCTATCGATAATACATCATTATTTTTCATATTATATCGTAGACAGCTTATAATCAATTAATAGCGTTAATCAACTAGAAACTTTACGTAACGACTGCACGAACAGGATTTCTAGATGAATTTTTTGTTCCGTAAGTAGAGACATTTCTAACATGCGTATAACATTAGGTATTTATCATACGAGACATCACACATAATATTATTACTGATCCAAATAAACATTTTTATATACTTGTATTTACAATTTACATAAACGAAATTATAATTAAAATACTTAACTTATGTAGTGTATAACTATAATAGCGTAAAATATTAATAGTTGAAGCATTTGCGTATTTCTATATTTTGTACACTTCATTATTGTGTATATTATAAATTTTTTAAATTATATGAGATGTTTTTACGGAATTTTAAGCATTAAGATTTCATTCTCCAAATTTTCAATTTTCTGTAAAGGTTTCTTTCTTTCTTATTGTGAGTTTACAACTTAACAGAAGAACATGCAAAATGTCCAGGAAGAGATTTTAAGGGTGACAGATCAGGTCATTTGACCGTGATTAATCTGTCATACCTATACTAGTTTTTCTATGAGTTAGTCCCTTTGAAGTAGATGATCCTTTCTCCCCTTCTCTTTGTAACGAAATACATTATGTGTGCGAGAGAGAGAGAGAGAGAGAGAGAGAGGGGGGGAGGGAGGGAGAGAAAGAGGGAGAAAGTACACGTACGTTCGCGCGCTT